CCGCTGGAGAATACGAATCGTACGATATCAATTATGGGTTCGTTGAGCACACCGTCACCGACTTTCATATCGATGCTAGTTCGGTAAGTCATATTCAATATTTGTTGTCATGACGCCGAAATAGTTTAATACTTGGGCATACTTGGTTACAGAATGCAACATTGTTAAATTGCATAATCATTCGCGCAATGTACATTTTCGTTATTATTATTGTATATCAAATAATGGCTTTTTGCACCAAATTACACTTTTTTGAATATTTATTTGCAACCTTGCGATTTCTATGTTAATATAAAATGATTAAAAACATGGGATAGTACGAAATCTGAGCGATTGAACAAATTTTATGAATGAACTTCACTTTTTGCAACAACGGTCTCAATGGCCAAACTATAATGTTCACCGAATATTCTACTTACACTTGATCACAAGGGAATCGTGACAACAACCAAACCACTTGATAGAGAAATGAGGTCAAGGTACCAATATTCTGTTCGTGTATATTATGACGACTCAAGCAAGTGTTTAAAATATCCGGTGAGTGAGATAATGTGAAACATTCAACACAACATCTTGAATACTTTTTTCCGTGACAACATACCTTCATAACCTGTTTAGTTAGATTATTCAATTGTTTTATGTTGGCGAAAACTACCGAGTGGAAAATGTTTTAAAAAAATAAGTCAATTTTGAAATATTTGTGATGAAGTGTAGTGTTTCAGACAGGTAATATAATGTCGTCGGAGACATGTTTCCAATAAACCACGCCTTCTAGCGACGAAGATCTCAGTGACGTCAAAATGGCGTGAATCGATCAAATCAAATCTAGTGATTGTAGCATTTTTTTATTTGAATGGTTAAACATTATTGACGCTGTGACACCGGTCTTGTGTTCCCTTTCACCCGTTCACGTCAAAGAATAGCTTCGTTTCTAGAGGGCGCTGCAGATTTATTTCTAATGCTTGAGTAGTATGACACATGTTGCCAACAGTTAACAGTTAACAGTTGTTCTCATCGACTTACCATTCGCTTCGGCGTCTAACACCAATTGAATGTGGTACACTTTCACTTTACAGGTAGTTGCAGAACTTTACATAGGCGTTTCGGATGAAAATGACAACTCTCCGATTTTTGCCGCAAGTCAATACGACGGATGGATAAACGAAAACAGTGACCCGGGCGTGAAAGTAGTGCTGGTAAGATTGCATCATTCACTTTTTATTGATTCGATTGGGGCTGATACACAGAAGCTATACATATATATATAGTTATTCTCCTTGCACTCAGAACATACATCAACGCACACTCGATATTATTCACTTGGCGTACTACTGAAGCTAGGTCGTGATGATTATTTGCTCTCATCACTAACGAAACTGTCGTCATATGCATTGCTGATAAGTTTCAATTTTCTGCCCCAACACTTCATTTCCCAGTGTTACAATCTCATCGTCTCGTACCGTGTCACGTTCACATTGCAATAACCATAACCATTCATCAGACAATAACGCAGTGAATCTCGACCACCTGCAACAAATTAACATGTGCTATGGTGAATATATGTGAAAAATTGCAACAAAGCCCAAACACGTATAAAATTGACACCGAAACAATCATTCGAACGTGATTGGTTAGTATAAACTCTAGGTGTGGTTGTCAAGGGGCGGGTCTAGAATGTAAACGAGAACAAAAGAAACAAAATATTCAAATCCTCAGATTTAAGGGGGTTCGTACGAACGCAATGTATTCGCCTCTGATGTATGCCGAATAATATATTCTAGGCCGTGCAATCGTGTGGATTTTAAACATCATTGGCATGTTGCCCTCGAGTTGCACTCATACTCGTACATTATCCTATATTTAACAGCTAATGGCACAAATGCAGAGTATAGCATTGTCTCTAACCCGGACAGTTTTTACTGCAATTAATGTAAACATTATATATATATCTTCAATAACAGGACACACCAATATCATCAGTAGATTATGACTATGGATTAAATGCTTCAACGGTCTACACTCTATCTGGTGATGGTCATGAACAGTTTAAAATAGATAACAAAACAGGTGTCATCACAACAACTGATGATGAATCAGTTTTAGACTTAGATCGTGAAGAACGAGATCGTTATAATTTGGAAGTGATAGTGTCTGATCGAGATGGTGTAGATGATCTAAGTCTTAAGACGAGTGTTCCGTTAACTGTTGTATTATGTGACGTGAATGATAATTATCCGCAGTTTACACAGGATGAGTATGACTATGAAATACCGGAAAACACAACCATAGGACACGTTATCGTCGTTATTAGTACCACAGATGAAGACATAAGCGTTAACGCTGTGGCGTACACCATAGTTTTCGGCGATGACGGGAAATTCAATATTGGTCGCAATAGCGGGGAACTGACCGTGGAGAGTGAGCTCGACCGCGAATTGAAACCACGCTATGTACTGAACGTCTCAGCAAGTGACGTTGGCAGTCCTGAACTTATAAACTACACAAGGGTCGACATACACCTTACTGACATTAATGACAATACACCCACGTTTTCCCCAGTGGAGCCCTGCGAAGAACAAGCAGAAGAAGTTGCCATCGGTACCACAGTACTTAGCGTCACGGCTACAGATGACGACGAAGGAGAAAACGGTGCAGTGCAGTACAGTATATCGGACACAGAATCCTTCACGATTGATAAGGATACAGGTTGAGTGGAAACAAATAGTTAAAGGACATATGACATGGGGCTCACCTTTTTAGGCACTTTAATAAGACATGCAAAAAGTATCCTTCTATTTATTCTGTTTCGACACAATTAATATATATATATAAAATCTGAGATAATTCTATATTTGTTAAGACCATTGGCAATCTTGCAAAAATGAGGTTGATAATACAAATGCAAATAGTTCTGCTTACTTTCTGGACACTTAGACAAAATTCATTCAAAACCTTTCTTTAATTGTTTTTGGAACTTTCAAAAACCCATCACATGTGTCTCTACATTTTTCGGAATCTTAAAAAGACGAATAGGAATAAGCGTACAGAACAAAAAACAAATATTTGTAAGCTTTGATATTCAGCTTTCTGGTTATATATAACATGACATATTTCAAATGCTAACATATTTCTTCATCGTCGATTTGTTCATATGAATAGGGTGATTAAAAGATGCATCTCATTTCTCAACGAGCGGTAGTGTTTATTTGTGTATTCGCGCTTTGCAAACCTGTGAGGTGCCATGTCTTGTCGAATATATACACCGTCAAATGTTGAGATTGTGGATGAGTAATGAGAAATTACCTGCAGAACATGATTTTAAGCTCGCCTCCTAAATTGAGGTAGATTTGAAAACTGTTTACACCAGGCCAAGTTCGTACTCTAGAAGTCCTTGAAGGTCTTAAGTACTTAATCTCAAAATAAAATGAGCGGGAACGAATTAACGGGGTATCTACCAATTAGTATAACATTTTAGCTTGTTCT